CGTCATTGACGACGGGGTGGACCACGCCTTCGCTTTCCACGTCGGTAAGGGCGCGCTCGTCAGTTTCCAACGCGGCGCAGCCGAGATGGTCTCTGCAGCCGCCTTCAACACCTTGGTTTGTGATCTCAGGCAAGGGTTGAAGAACGCCTTCGTGATTCATTTGCAGTGCGAGCAGCCCGATCGCCAACGCCGATCTCTGGGGCGCGACTCGCTTTGTGGCACGGGGGCCCGGAAAACCATCAAGAAGCGGCCTGCGTCTTCCAGCGGGGGCTCAACAGCTACCGCCCCAGGTCAAGTGGGCGTGAAATCAGATCGGTGGCCTGAGGGATTGGCTTCGGCAGTGCGAGAGGAGGCTCTTCGTTGATGGGGCCTAACTGGTTGCATGGGCGACTGCGCCGAGTTCGGTTCTCCGCATCACTGGAGATGCCCTATGTGCATCGCCGGGGACATCAGCGAGACACGTTATTTGATCACGCACATGAGCAGATATCATATTAAAGCTCGCTGCAGCACTATTTCAAAGAAAGTGCAATGCGATGTAAGTGGGCAATGGGACCAGATGGTATCACGGTCCCGCTTTAACGAGCTGTGCGGACGCGATGGTCAGATCTCTGCTGGAAACATTGTGAATCGCTGCGTAGTTGGCATCAGATCTCAATTGGAGGAGAGCCCCTCGCGGTCGCAGAGGGAAGGCCAACTCGCGTGTGATGTGATGCGGTTGAACAAACGAATCACCATTTTATTGGACTTAGCGAACACAAAGTATGTGCTAACGGAGGATTGCAACAGGTACCACAAGGTGTCCGACAAGTTTTACTGCACTGGCGTCTTCCTGAACGCGTACCTCGCTGCCATGATTCACCCGAATACGAAGGGGGCTACGCAGCGGATAGTTTCTTTTCTCGTTGCCCAGTCGGGCGACAAATCGCATTTGCCCCCGACCGGGGAAACGTTCTACCATACTGTAAACGAGAAGATGGCCAATCACATCAGTGTCCGGCGTGCCGTGGAAAGATGCCGCGCGGCTTGCGACGTCCGCGTCTTGGGCGTGGATGGGTTCTACAAGTCGTTGATGTCTGTGCTGTGCCAAGTTCCGCACGGACAGAAGCAAGACGCAGTTCCAGGGCGAGATCGGGTTCCATTGCGCGTTCTTATCACTGTCCAGCGCAACGACAGCACACTCGAGATGTTCGGTTCCAGTTCGGAAGACCCCGTGCAGTAGGTGCGCGCTCTTCGGAATGTTGCTCGCAGAGAGGATGCGGAGAAGGTGCGGATGATTTGCTCAGACTGTCCTGCGTCTTTGGACAAGCGCAGCCAGTTGCGCGCCGCGTTTCCTAACCTGAAATGCGCCAGCAAAGACCTGCTGCACATTGCCCTCAAGGTCGAGCAAGCATCCAATGAAAGGACGACGGCATTCTCTTCCAGCGTTCGTAAATGCATTGCTAAACTTCGCCTCGGGGGATTTGGCAGATCTCGTTATTTTCAATGTAGTGATGGTCGCGCGGGGCCTTCCGAACTGGTGGCCGCAATTGCTGCTATGAGGCCATCAGATGCGAAACGCTTGTACCACCGCATCCAAAACAGCAGCAGCTACGTGGAGAAGCCGTGCGATCTCATGTGCGACTTCATCGAGGACCTGGCAGCGATCTGCTCAACACGCCCAAACATTACGCATCGCAAAACAGCTAAGACTACTACGGTGCTCAGCAGTTTGGAATACGCGACCACGGCGCAGGAGCTGGGATACATTCGATTTGTTTTGCAAGTACGTCGCCAACAACCCAAACCATGACGTCATATTTGGAACCACTCGCAACGAAGCGTTCCACAAGCATCTGAAGGCGTTTTACAGAAACGTCATGTGGCAACCACAACGACATGCTCTGTGCATTGCTGCTGCGGCGAAGTTGGCAAAGCTGTTCGTAGGCTTCTTATCAAAGTGCCAGCGTGACCAGTCGCATTCTTTTGCAGAGCACGATATATTGGCTCAGTTCTCCCATTTTCTTTTACAGAGGCACCTCTAAGTTTCGTGCCCCGTATGAATCATGCTGTGACAGCGAACGAATCAGTAGACCAGGCCCTGTTGCCCTCAAACGCAAAGGTTACTCGCAAGCGCCCAGCATCTGCGATGTAGGTATCTTTGTTCCTTCACAACTTGCCCGCGTGCATTCTTACTGGTTGTCGTTGCATCCGAAAACAGCTGCCCTTCTTAACCCGATCGCATGCCCGTTTCATGGCAATAAAAACAAAAGAAACCAGCGTCGTTAAATAGAACCATATTTTGAATCCACGGGGGGGGGGGGGGGGGGGGGGGCATTGGGTCCGCGGGTGTGGCGCGACTCCAGGGGGGTGTTCCGGGAGACGTAACAATGCGAACTGGCGTACGGGACACGTTGCATTCTAGCCTCGCTGACCTCCCTCCGGAAACACGTACCTTCTGGACGTGGATTTCTGGCTTACGCCACACCGCACCGCCGAAACTTTAGGACCCGTGGATCATATTTGGTCATCGGAAATCTGATGATGTGTTGCTATTGTTCTCCTCTTCCTCCTCTTTCTTCTTCTTCTTCTTCTTCTTCTCCTCCTCCTCCTCCTCCTCCTCCTCCTCCTCCTCCTCC